TAATGGAAGATTTTCCGAATTCACAAAAGAATGGATCACGAACCCAGTTGAAATCTTGTGCACTCTCTCCAAAATATTTATTTAATTTCGCTGCAGCATTTCTAAATGTTCTTTAATTGTGTCCATCACCACTTTATTGCTGTCAGCAAGAGTCCATACAGTCAGGAACATCTCAAACGACCCATCTGTAATTCTCTAACTAGCAACCAAAATTTGCGAACTACTTCAGAGCACAGCTGTAATAGAACTGAAACAATTGTAAAACGCGGGATCTCAACTCTTCAAATGGAAGAAGTGACACTATACCGACTTATTTTTTAAATATTTATAATTTTAAATGAAGTCCAACAATTGGTGGGTGCATCGTTACAGGAAGAAAGTCATAAAGTTGAAGAAGCTCTAACTTCTAACAAACAGGGGCAAATACCAAAACAGCGTTATAAAAAACAGGAAAACCCATGCTAATCCCTGCAGTTTTAGGGAAAAGCACATACACAGAACATGCGGCAAGCATATCAAAGAAGCTGTGTAGATGCAAGAAAAATACAAATAAATCAATAATGAAAACTATGATATAACAACTGTGAGTAAGTAATTTACGTTTAATTTCTTAGAATACAACATTACTGTACATAAAAAATCACAGCATGTAATAAACAATAAAGAAGCATCATCTTATTTAATCAGTGCAGTGGCTGAGAATAAAATACAAGCATATGAAACACGGTAACTGGGCTAAAATAAAACAAATAAAATTCGACAATTAATTTCTTACAATAGGTAAAAGTTCGTGTCACACCTTTCACCTTGTGATGGCACATCAGTGTGCCATGGCACAAAGGTTGTGGGACCACTGATATAATGAAACAATGCCAGAAAACCTTTAGAGAATTACTCCAATCCAAGTAAGTTGATCTTATGATATTCTGACTTACATCTAGTGTTACAACAGGAACCAGTAATGCACACTTAAGCCAACGGAAAGCATCAGTATAGTTGCCTTGATTGAAGTGACACTTGGCCAGAAGAAGGCGGTTTTCCTTCCAGGGTGTGGGACTCAAGTACTCTGCTTCTAGACAGTGGTTCACTGCCTCAGGGTATGTTGCAGTGGGTGGTTCAGCACATATTACACCTGCCACCTTTCTCTCTATCCATGACAGGTTTGCTACCTGTGACACATTAAAATCTTTTATATATGAAAAATAAATTCACCACAAGTCACCAGTCATGACAAAAATACACTGGCTGCATGACAAAATTTACATATGATATATCCACATAGTATTAATGCATTTCACTTGTATTCAGAATATGAATCACTCAGTTTCATAAAGTAAACAGTCTGAGAAGCAATGTGCATCACTATTTGCAGTTTGTGTTAGCAACCAGTTACAATATGAAACAAGGACACAATTAAACCACTGACAGTTAAAAACAGAAGTACAGAATTGTAATATAATATCTGGATTTAAAGACTGTACTAATTTAACGCTCGCAGCCAAAAAGGAAGGACACATCACAGACACAGTACACACAGAGGACAAACCATACTATACGCGAGTTTGAATTAACCTTTATCGGACGGGCCATTTAATTTCCGGTAGGGGCAGCTGGACGGAGTTTATTTAAATGCCCGCCCTTCTAGAGCAATGAAATTGTAAGCATGTTTCTAAAAATGGTGTGATTTCTACATTTTTTATGATAAACGAACGAAATGAACGCTCCTTTAATGTAGAAAGAATATAGAATCAGATATTCTAATTTACAGATTTTAATATCTGTAAAAAATTTTTACACTGATTCCCAAAATAAAATTTCCCGAAATTCATACATTTTCTGCACCATGCGTT